AGAGAGAGAGAGAGAGAGAGAGAGAGAGAGAGAGAGAGAGAGAGAGAGAGAGAGAGAGAGAGAGAGAGAGAGTTGACACTGAGACTTGGTGACCTTGGGGCTATGCCCGGTTCAGTGACATTGCGACTTGACCTTGTATGAGCAGCGGCATTGGGGATACCTTGGAGACTGAGTTCATCGGGCTATGGTGGCTGATCCTCCCTATCTCCTCCTCCCTTCGTCTCTTCTCCCCCACTTCGTCCGCATATGACTTTCGGACTCCTTGCATCTCCTGTGTTTGGAGCGCCGAGTCCTTTTGCACCTGTGTGATCGTGATGGTTGTCAGCTGTTGTCATTGTCCCAGCTGACTCAGATCTTGGTATTTCAGTCTCTTCCACTGCGATATTTTTGCTCTATCTCCGAGAGGTCGGTTCTTGGTCCCGATCTATGCCATTAGGCATGTGACACAGACAGATGATGAAACCTCACAAAAATCAGATGGGAGAAAAGGGGAGAAGGGGTGACAGGAGGAGGATGAAGAGGAGGGAAATTGGCTTTCGTTTGCGCTTGTTTATGTTTATTAACTTTATTAAAGTTTATTTCCCTCCAAGTGTGGTAGAAAGCAAGGAGCTGGAGATTGTGAACATGAGGTTAGAAAGTCAGGGAATGACACAGGGAGGGAGCAGGAAGAGCAGTGGGGAGAATAAGTGTATTACAGGTTGGCTGCATTAGCTTTCTCTGCCCCTTCCCTTCCTTCTCCCCCTCTTCCTCTTGACAGAGAGAAATTTTGAAGCACGCAAAGAGTCGAGATGGCAGAAGAGGAGTTTATTAGTACCCCTTATGAATCTACATGGGAATCGTAAAAACTTCTTCTTCGTTTTTTCTTTTTGAGACAATGCTCCAATCTATTCGTGGGGAGCAACACGGATGGGAACCGGGCCCATCGTCCCTGATCAGAATACAAAGCAAAAGGGAAAGAGAAAACAAATCTACATGGGAACAAAGCCACATGCGGGAGAGAGGGTGAAAGGTGAGGGGTGAGTGCTCCCATATGCTGCCGCCCCTGATCTGCTGTCTAGTGCCGCATAGGCATGGCATCTTTTCTCTCTATTTCTGCCCTATCCTCCCTGGCACTTGTCCATAACCTGTTTCTTGATGCTTGCCAGTGAATAAGCAACTGAACTGTTGTCCCACAGAATAGGTGAGGGCTGTGTGTGTGTGTGTGTGTGTGTGTGTGTGTGTGTGTGTGTGTGTGTGTGTTTAAAAAAAAAGAAAAAAGAAAAAGGATGAAGGGTTAGGTGAATGGAGGAGGGAGGGAGGTGGTGGGTGGAGCGAAGGGGAAGAGTAACAACGTTCCTGTTGACAAATCGTGAAAGCTCATGACAAGGTGGCGGAAGAGGAGGGGCAGATGGGCGATGGAAGGAGGACGAGGAGAAGGAATAAAACTCTCTCCTGCTTGGAGGCTATGGGTTTCTCCCTTGTGTTTGGGGCTGGGAATCATAAACAGAGATTGTGGGAGGGAGGATGAAGAGGGCTGGGGAGCAGTGGCGACTTACGCGGGATCAGGAAGGCCGTGTACATGAAGTCGAGTCGCTGCGGGTGCAGATCTGCACTGGGTCGGACTGGAAATCCGTTCCACGGACCAGCGTCTCGTTCAACATGATCATAGCAATGTACCCAGGAGGCAGAGTCCCATCCTTGT